AGTGGGACCAAGAAACCAAAGTCCTAACCGAATAAAGCTGGGAAGATTACTAAGCAACACAGACCCCAACTTATGCCTAGAACAGATTAACTCGGGGGCACTCGATGTATGCACAAGGCTTATTCCTCTAAGAAAAAGGAGGAGTAGATGTAAAATAGAAAGAGACAGGTTTCTCCCTTTACAGGCGACGGAAAAGAATAACAGAGCGGCTAAAAGAGGTCAATATATCTGAAATGCGTAGGGAGACACTGGTCAGAGAAATTAGCAAGCATCGAACTTAAGCTAAAAGAATCCATTAGGAGTCAAAAATCGCGGGAAGAACTAAAAGCCATAAATGAAATCGAAGAAACCCAAAGAAATTTCTTCTCCTATGCCAAATCAAAATCGAGAAAAAACGTCCGTATTGGGCCCCTACTTAAACAAGATGGGTCCTACACAGATGACAGAAAGGGAAAATTGAGGAGCTATCAAGCCCCAATATGACTCAGTTTTTAGCAAGCCGCTAACCAGACTGAGAGTCGAAGATCAAAATGATTTTTTTTGAGAGAGCCACAAAATTTGATTAACACAAGCCTACCCGATGTTATCCTGACGCCAAATGACTTCGAACAGGGCGATAAATGACATGCCCATGCACTCTGCCCCAGGGCCAGACTCATGGAACTCTGTGTTCATCAAGAACTGCAAGAAGCCCCTTTTCACGAGCCTTTTCCTCCTATGGAGAGGGAGCATGGACACGGGGGTCGTCCCACAGTTACTAAAAAAAACAGACATAGCCCCACTTCACAAAGGGGGCAGTAAAGCAACAGCAAAGAACTACAGACCAATAGCACTAACATCCCATATCATAAAAAAATTTTGAAAGGGTTTCCCAAGAAGCAAGATTGCCACTCATCTAGATACCCCTCAGTTACACAACCCAGGGCAACATGGGTTTAGAACAGGTCGCTCCCGTCTGTCTCAACATTGGATCACTACGACAAGGTCCAAAATGCACTAAAAGACAAAAAGAATGCAGATGTAATATATCAACTTTGCAAAAGCCTTCGACAAGTGGCATGGGTAATAGGCACAAAAGCGTGCAAAAGAATAACAGGAAAAGTGGTCGATGGTCTATAATTTCCTAACAGAAGACAGAGAGTTCGTCAACAGGTAAAGCCCGGGGCAGCTACTGTGAAAAGCTCTTTTCCCCAAAAGGGGCCGTACTCGCCCCCATCTTGTTCTCACCCCAATACCCGACAAAAAAAGGAGCCCCACGCAGTGTTTTCCCTTTGAGTGACACCCAATCGCATGCAGTGTTTTCCTTTCAGACATGAAAAAGCTCCCGGACATAAACCAAATTTTCAGGGACTGAAAAAAAAAATGAAGTTAAACGATAGAAATTTCAATTACTAAATTTGGGTAAACATGAGAAATTAAATTTCTCGGTCAAAACAATTTGGCCACAAAATAGGCGAAAAAACAAGCAAAAACCTGGCAGTGATCTGTCGGAGGGTCTCACCCTTTGGACCCTAACATTGTATCAAACGCATTTAGAAAAAAAGACAGGATGGATAACGAGAACCTTCAAAATAGGGAGGCCAAGCCCATGATGACATCTTTACATTGGGTTTAAACTAGGCTGGAAAATTTTCTGCACACTAAAAGCCCTTTTTAAAGGGGGGTGAAATTGCCCACCCAGAAAATGTACAGAGAACTTTCACGGCGCGCATAACGGAGATAAAACACCTCAATTACTGGGAGCGCTTGAGGTTCCTAAACCTGTATTCCCTGGAAACGCAGGAGGGAGAGATACATGATTATATACACCTGGAAAATCCTAGAGGGACTAGTACCGAACTTGCACACGAAAATCACTCACTACGAAAGCAAAAGACTTGGCAGACGATGCACCATTCCCCCAATGAAAAGCAGGGGTGTCACTAGCACGTTAAGAGACCATACAATAAGTGTCAGGGGCCCGAGACTGTTCAACTGCCTCCCAGCACACATAAGGGGGATTACCAACAGACCCCTGGCAGTCTTCAAGCTGGCACTGGACAAGCACCTAAAGTCGGTTCCTGATCAGCAGGGCTGCGGTTCGTACGTTGGTTTGCGTGCAGCCAGCAGCAACAGCCTGGTTGATCAGGCTCTGATCCACCAGGAGGCCTGGTCACAGACCGGGCCGCGGGGGCGTTGACCCCCGGAACTCTCTCCAGGTAATCTCCAGTATAACACCGGGCACATCTGAGGCGCACATCAAACAAATAACTGCTGCAGCATACGGGCGCCTGGCAAACCTAAGAATAGCATTCCTACATCTCAATAAGGAATCGCTCAGGACCCTGTACACCGTGTACGTTAGGCCTATATTTGAGTATGCATCACCAGTTTGGAACCCACACTTAGCCAAGCACGTAAGGAAATTAGAGAAAGTGCAAAGGTTTGCAAGAAAGCTAATCCCGGAGCTAAAGGGCATGTCGTCAGGTCGATTAAGGGAAATCGACCTCACGACACTGGAGGACAGGAGGAATAGTGGGGATAAAATAACGACATATAAAATACTGAGAGGTGGACACATACAGGATGTTCCAGAGATGAGACACAGCAACAAGGGGCCACTGTTAGAAGCTGAAGACTGAGATGAATCACAAGGATGTTAGGAAGCATTTCTTCAGTCATAGAGTTGTCAGGAAGTGAAATAGCCTGGGAAGTGATATAGTGGAGGCAGGATCCATAAATAGCTTTAAGAAGAGGTATGATAAAGTTCATGGAGGAGGAAGAGTGACCCAGTAGCGACAAGCGAAGAGGCATTGCCAGGAGCTGTGACTCGACCCCTGCAACCATACCTAGGTGAGTACACATACACACAATAGTCCCAGACAAACACACACACACACAATAGTCAAAGACAAACACACGCACACAGTAGTCCCAAACACACACACACACACACACTCAATAGTCCCATAAAAACACACTCAGTCACAGACAAACACGCACACTCAATATCCCAGACAAACACGCACACTCAATAATCCCAGACAAGCACGCACACTCAATCCCAGACAAACACACACACTTAATAATCAAAGACAAACACACACACTCAATAATCTCAGACAAACACACACACTCAACAATCCCAGACAAACACACACACTCAATAATCCCCGACAAACACACACACGCAATCGTCCCGGATAAACACACACAAAATAGTCACACACACACACACACACACGCACAAACACACATATAGCCCCAGAAAAACACATGCACAATAGTCCCAGACAAACACATGTACAATAGCCCCAGACAAACACATGCGCAACAGTCCCAGGCAAACACATGCACAATAGTCCCAGACAAACACATACGCAACAGTCCCAGAAACACATATACAACAGCCCAGAAAAACACATGGCCAACAGTCCCAGAAAAACACATGCCCAACGTCCCAGACAAACACATGACAAAGCCCCAGAAAAAACACATGCACAAAAACCAGTCCCAGACAAACACATGACAACAGTCCCAGACAAACAACTGTACAACAGCCCAGACAAAACACATGTACAAACAGTCCCAGACAAACACATGACAACATCCCAGAAAAACACATGAAAACAGTCCCAGCAAACACATGAACAAAACCCCAGAAAAAACACATGCCAAGTCCCAGCAAACACATGACACAGTCCCAGAAAACACATGTACAAAGCCCCAAAAAAACACATGCGCAACAGTCCCAGACAAACCATGCACAACAGTCCCAGACAAACACATGCACAACAGTCCCAGACAAACACATGCACAACAGTCCCAGACAAACACATGTACAATAGCCCCAGACAAACACATGTACAATAGCTCGAGACAAACACATGCGCAACAGTCCCAGACAAACACATGCACAACAGTCACAGACCAACACATGCACAACAGCATCAGACAAACTCATGTACAACAGTCCCAGACAAACACATCCACAACAGTCGCAGACAAACACATGTACAATAGGCCCAGACAAACACATGCACAACAGTCCCAGACGAACACATGTACAACAGTCCCAGACAAACACATGTACAACAGTCCCAGACAAACACATGTACAATAGCCCCAGACAAACACATGTACAACAGTCCCAGACAAATACATGTACAATAGCCCCAGACAAACACATGCGCAACAGTCTCAGACAAACACATGTATAATATTCCCAGACAAACACATGCGCAACAGTCCCGGACAAACACATGCACAACAGTCCCAGACAAACACATGCACAACAGTCCCAGACAAACACATGCGCAACAGTCACAGACAAACACATCCACAACAGTCCCAGACAAACACATGTACAATAGGCCCAGAGAAACACATGCACAACAGTCCCAGACGAACACATGTACAACAGTCCCAGACAAACACATTACAACAGTCCCAGACAAACACATGTACAATAGCCCCAGACAAACACATGCGCAACAGTCCCAGTCAAACACATGTACAACAGTCCCAGACAAACACATGTACAACAGTCCCAGACAAACACATGTACAATAGCCCAGACAAACACATGTACAACAGTCCCAGACAAACACATGTACAATAGCTCCAGACAAACACATGCACAACAGTCCCAGACAAACACATGTATAATATTCCCAGACAAACACATGCACAACAGTCCCAGACAAACACATGCACAACAGTCCCAGACAAACCCATGCGCAACAGTCACAGACAAACACATGCACAACAGTCACAGACCAACACATGCACAACAGTCACAGACAAACACATCCACAACAGTCCCAGACAAACACATGTACAATAGGCCCAGACAAACACATGCACAACAGTCCCAGAGAAACACCTGTACAATAGGCCCAGACAAACACATGCGCAACAGTCCCAGACAAACACATGCACAATAGGCCCAGACCAACACACACACAATAGTCCCAAACACACACACACATGTACAGGTAAGAACAACACCACGCACTAACCTGTAAAACCAACAGCAGACAACAACTGGAGGTCCTTGATCCGTCTGGCCGGCTTCATGGCGCACCTTTCAACAACTTTTTCCCCTGAACTTGTTTAATGACGGCCTCTCGATAACAGTCATGAAGTGTCGCTTTTAGCCTCTGTTGTCGACTCGCAGTTTAAATATTTTTTTTATTAAACACTCACTGTCACACTGGTAATACTTACATTAACTTAATTGTATAAATTAAAGGTTTTAATGGGGTTTAAAACTTATCAACTCCACCGTGGTCATTAAAGCTTCTCTGAACTTTCTCGCCACTAGACGAGAATATTTTAATCCCTAAAATATTGATTTAAACTCCAATACCTTGTATTGGACAACCATGCGGTAACAAGGGCAATGGTGGACTGGGGTCAGGTGGTGGGCCGCATGCGGTCAGTCTGGTCGTTACCTTAGCAACGGCTTCGTTGCTAAGGACGCCTTCACTACCATAACAAAAGCATGTTTTTGTCAGCTTAGGGGAAATGTTTGTGCTCCCCCCCCCCTTCATGGAGGGGGCCTTGTTGCTGATGAAGGGCTCTTGATACGAGGAATTAGAGCTATCCATCCATTCCTAGCAACAAACCTGGTTAACTTCCATTACCCAGGCGCCGTATGACCATTACAAATTTAATAATAATAATACAGGATAAATGTTATCGTTCATTATATAAGAAGGTGTTTAGCTCGTTAAGTTTCAAGCCTATCTACTGTTTGTGAGTCATTAAAGTTACGGTTCAATTTTACATTATCATGAAACAAGGGTTAAATGTATCTCGCTCTCTCTCTCTCTCTCTCTCTATATATATATATATATATATATATATATATATATATATATATATATATATATATATATATATATATTAAATGCAACCACGAACCAGTGGTTTTTAAACACTTAACAAATTACGGCTAGTCGGGAATCGAACCCGTGTTATTTTAGCAAAACGCTATAACCACTGGGTCAACAATTGTTCAAACATCATGTACTGCAGTATAGGAGAAAAAACGAAAGTGATTGTAACCAAGACGACACACAGCGGCCTCCTACACTGCAAGTATTGCATCTTCATGGAAAATCTGAAGAGAATTTTATGATACTTAGTATTACGCAAAACCTTGGGTGTGTTAGTACCATTAAAATACTTGAGATATGTCCGGGTTCCTTTGATGTTTTAAATTTTACTGGATGCATAGAATTGTATGTGTGTGTTTACTTGACCTTTCTTATCTTCATGGGTAGGTCTGTTGACCTGGATAATTGCATAGTGCTAATTTTTGCCAGTAGTTTAAGGGGCGGCGGAAGTGTGGCGTCATGGAGACTTAAAGTAACTGTTAAATTTCTCCGTCACTTACTGTTGTGGATATTTTTTTTCCCCTCAAGGAAGGTTCCTTGATGTTGGTGAGGAGCTCTTGATTTAGGGAATTGGATCTGTGTTCCAGTTCCCCGAATTAAGCCTGAATGCCTTCCACATCCCCCCCCCCCAGGCGCTGTATAATCCTCCGGGTTTAGCGCTTCCCCCTTGATTATAATAATAATGTGGATATTTTTTGAGTACCTGGTTAAGGTATACAGGTGTTCTTTATGTAATTACTGTTAATACTGCATAACATTTTTGTATATATTCGTTTTTTGTCGGTCCGGGTAATCAACGTTAAGATTAGTTTTTTTTTTTTGTTACAAGCGTGGCCCATGAGTGGAATATTTTTATATTTAACATATGCCCCTAGGCAAGACTTTTACCCCTGGGCACCAGGATTTAACTGCGTAACAAGGTTCGAGTTGGCTTGTCCAGCATCCTGACCCAGACATCACCAACGCTCGATTGTCTTCTGGAGACGAGGTTCTCCAGAATTATTTCTTCCATCAAAGAATTGCAAAATTAACTGAGCAGCGACGCAGAGTTTTATGACCCTGGTGGATATAGCGCTTTGTATTGGTAATAATAATAATAATAATAATAATAATAATAATAATAATAATAATAATAATAATAATATTATTATTATTATTATTATTATTTGAGCACTGACAGAAACATAGGAGGAGGCTACAATTCCAACATTAACCATGGCTCACATCAAGGGCAAACAGCGATGATTATCCATGAATATAGGTTCCAGAAAAGTGACAATACAGCCGCACAGGTGACACACAATACAGTGGGACAGGTGACACACAGTACAACCAGACATAATAATACAATCAGACAGGTAACAACACAACCAGACAGGTGATGAATGCAAGTTCCAGATTATCCACATTCAAGAGGTGATGTATTATTCGACGTGAGAGAAACAAAGTGATAAGAGATGATTAAGAGTAAAAAAGGGTCATCTTAGAAACGGACACAGAAGAGGTCACGTTCAGTTTACGATTACAGATGACAGTTCACCCAAACACTGGAAGAGGATTTCACGAGTTTAGTTTAGCACAGAAGTGACGGCAATTATGGATCGATTCAACATCTCCGACCTGATGATGATAACTAAGATATATGTGCAAGAGTTAGGTATCTTTTTTCCCGAAACGTTTCGGAATAAAGATACCTAACTCTTGCACATGTGTCTTACTTATTAGTTTGTAGATATTGTATAACATCATACTCACATCTCCGACAGGAGATGCAGAACCCGAGGGCAGAACCCGAGGGCAGAACCCGAGGGCAGAACACGAGGGCAGAACCTGAGAGGCAGAACACGAGAGCAGAACCCGAGAGGCAGAACACGAGGAGATTATGTTCTCGCGAAGATAAATACAACAATACAGGATAGTCAATAGAGAAGCACTCGCCAAGGCAAATAAGAACCTGAACCTCTATTCAGAAACTCAACTCTTCTTACACTGGGATTCACAGCTTCTCCCTAATGTGTTCAAGGTCAAGAATGTTGACATGGTTGCCATCCTGCTTACAGGAGGCAGGCAAAAGATCCTTCTCGGGGTTCCCAAAGTCGCGGCAGCAATACAAGCGTGAATGAATTGAGCATTTACATTGCTGCTCTTAAGGAGTAGAATCCCATGGATCATGTGAGAGTCTTAGTGTTCAACACCACTGCCTATAGCATGGATTTGCCTGAAGCGGTTCTCCCTGAAGAATCCTGCATCACCAATATCTCCATATTCGTGCTGTCGATAGAGAAGTAGGGAATCACTGGATCTTACTGGAAGCCAACAACTGGCGTTGAGGATCTCATGGAAGACTCCTGTGATCCAGTGATAGAATTCAGCAAAAGGACACTGAGATATATGAAGACAAATCGAGTCAAAGATTCATCCCAGGGTAGGTACTAGAGAAAGAGAGGTATGAAGATCAGGGTACCTGGAGCTTTCCATCAAGTCAGTTTGGAGGCTAGAGGCCACTCATGATCTGAAGATCTTCCTCTTCAGGGAGCAGTTCTCCCTCGCTGTTCTTGAAATGTGTGTTGTGTGAAGTCTCAGCCTTTTTATTTTTCTCTTCTACACCAGGTACAGGAGTCAAGCAACGATCGCGTCAAATTCCCTTCCCCCCCACCCCCCCAAAAAAAAGAAAACTAGACCGTCATGAAAGATCTTGAGACCGAAATTCCAGTTGTCAATTGAACACTGCCATCACAGCTACAAACGCCCCCTATGGTATGTAACCGAGGAACTGGGCGGTCTTATGTTCTTCGATAATCGGATGAAAGAGGAGAAAGCTGTGATACTGAAAAATCTCAGATGAGAGAGCGGAGGGGACTGAAGAGGCTTTGTGGCAAGCTGTTCCACTCTCGAAAAACACCTCACAACTTCGTGACATCCAAAACCCATAATATCTACGACCTAAATCTTCCGAATGAGCGTCAGGAGTCTGGGAAAGACACTGCAGTGAAACTTTTACTACGACGTTTCGCCTCTGTCGCCTTACCCTGTGGCAAAAACTGTATTCCTGAATATGGTAAGCTATCGATTCGAAGACTTACCATATTCCAATTTTTTTCGTGATGATCAGAAAGTTGAATCTTTTTGCGGACCTATAAATACATATTTAACTAGGAACTGAAAGTTTCTCTAAAGATATGTTGGGGTAAAATTATTACATCAACTTATGTCTCATGTATAATTCCTAATTTTAATTTTTTAACCATATTATATTAATATTATGCTAATAATTTGCACTGATAGCTATACACTTCACTGTCAACACACACACATTATATATATATATATATATATATATATATATATATATATATAATATATATATATATATATATATATATATATGTCGTGCCGAATAGCTAAAACTTGCGATTTTGGCTCTTCTTGCCGAAAAAGGCAATCGAAAATTTGTGCATGCAGTAATTTCGTAAGAATCATTCTTAACCTAGCGAAAAAAAATATATTTCATTGTGTTTGTTTATTATTAAAGTATTGTAAACTTATTTAATAAAATATTTTAGTTGGATTAAGCTAAATTAAATTACGCTTGTTATAATAAGGTTAGATATAATTTTATAGATAGTAGGTTGGCAGACAGCAACCATCCAGGGAAGTACTACCGTCCTGCCAGGTGACTGTGAAACAGAAACCTGTAACTGTTTTACATGATGGTAGGATTGCAGATGTTTTTTTCTGTCTCATAAACACGCTGGATAACAGGTATATCTTGCTACTTCTACTTACACTTAGGTCACACTACACAGGCACGTACATGCGTATATATACATACACACATCTAGGCTTTTCTTCTTTTTCTAAATAACTCTTGTTCTTTATTTCCTCTATTGTCCATGGGTGAGTGTAAAAGAATCCTTGCTCCGTAAGCCATGTATGTCGTATGAGGCGACTAAAATGCCGGGAGCAATGGGCTAGTAACCCCTTCTCCTGTAGACATTTACTAAAAAAGAGAAGAAAAACTTTATAAAACTGGGATGCTTGAATGTGCGTGGATATAGTGAGGATGACAAGAAACAGATGATTGCTGATGTTATGAATGAAAAGAAGTTGGATGTCCTGGCCCTAAGCGAAACAAAGCTGAAGGTGGTAGGAGAGTTTCGGTGGGGGGAAATAAATGGGATAAACTCAGGAGTATCTGAGAGAATTAGAGCTAAGGAAGGGGTAGCAATAATGATGAAGGATCAGTTATGGAAGGAGAAGAGGGAATATAAATGTGTAAATTCAAGGATTATGTGGATTAAAATAAGGGTTGGATGCAAAAAGTGGGTCATAATAAGCATGTATGCACCTGGAGAAGAGAGAAGTGTAGAGGAGAGAAAGAGATTTTGGGAGATGTTAAGTGAATGCATAGGAACCTTTGAACCAACTGAGAGAGTAATTGTGGTAAGGGACCTAAATGCTAAAGTAGGAGAAACATTTAGCGAGGGTGTGGTAGGTTAATTTGGGGTGCCAGGTGTAAATAATAATGTGAACCCTTTGATTGAACTTTGTATAGAAAGGGGTTTAGTTATAGGTAATACATATTTTAAGAAAAAAGAGGATAAATAAGTATACAAGATATGATGACAGTAGTTTGTTGAACATATACATACACACACATACACACGAGCCAGTGGGTTATAATTCCCCCACCCCCCACCCACCCACACAATGGTTCATAAATGTTCTCTGCATTACCAGAGGGCAACACTGACCAGTCAGCTGATCGTAGCGTCTCTGTTTCCATAGCGACCATCATGTTGGCGTCGCGTTCCCGTTTCTATGACGACCGTCAGGTGAGCGTCGCGTCATTGTTTCCATAGCAAC